AACATGGCCAGGGGATGGCCTCCAACATTAATCATCTGAGCTCTGCCCAAAGGCACAGCTGCTCCCTGGGACGCTCCCAGGCAATGAGAGCACAGCCAGCTTCCTCGGTGCCGACGCTCCCCAAAATCTGAGCTCTGCCCAAAGGCACAGCTGCTCCCTGGGACGCTCCCAGGCAATGAGAGCACAGCCAGCTTCCTCGGTGCCGACGCTCCCCAAAGCCAGAGGGGCCTGCCTGCAGCAGGAGCACCGAGGAAAGAGCTATGAGAAGAGTCTTGTTTTGAAAACCAGTTTGTACTGGTGGCCTACGGGGAAGCTGCTACTTCCCGAGAACTTCTACAAGCCTGGAGGGCACCAGGGCCGGAAGACTGGCATCCGCACATGCCGCACCACCCGCCCTTCCGTTCCCCTGTGCAGACGGGGGAAGGGCTCGTGTAGGAAACCAGCAGTCTGTCCACACTGCACGGCCTCGCCCCATGGGGAAAATGGAGCAAGAGGGCTGGGCAGGCGTGTTGCTCAAGTGCCAGCTCAAGGCTGCAGGGCTGCCCAGGAGAGCCCTTGGCACCACGTGTGGCACAGAGAGATCTCAGGGTCTGACACACAGCTGTGTCCGAAATGCAAGGCCCACACTTTGCCTGGCGTGGCCAACTCTGCAGCCTGCCAGTTCCTTACCTGCCCAAAATGGTGAGCCAGGACAATGTCCACGATGTTGGTTGTCCAGCCAGAAAACTGAGAAGGAACAAAAATGTCTCATGCAACTGGCACCCTGGGCAGCGTGGTGCCGAAGGGGGAGACCCTGCAAAGGCCACAGGCTGGGGCGGGCAGCAGAGGCTGGCGCTTTGGTGCCTGTCGCAGAAGCATTCAGAACACAGCTCCTTGGGGCAGGTCACCGGCACCCCAGAAACCCTCCCTGCTGTGCCCACTGCTGGGTCTCCCAGCCAAGCACGCCCAATCCCAGCCTGCTTCCCCCGAGAGCGCGGCCTCAGGGCCTGCACGGGGAGGGCTGTGGCACAGCCGGGGGGTCTCACCATTGATAAGCACGAGCCCCTCCACCAGGTCGGGGTGATTCAGCTGCAAGGAGAGACACAGCGTGAGGGCCCCAGGAGGCGCCGAGCCAGCAAGGGACGAGGATCCTCATGGACAGTTCTCCCAGAGCTGGGGCAGCAGCCTCGCCCTGGTCTATTGGGCAGGACAACCCAAGGGACTGTCTAGGGCAGCCAAGCAGGCAGAGATTCTGGGGCCGCACCCTGCCTGGAGGCTCCTTGGGCAGG